GGGTGGGCGATCAGGCGGGCGACCAGGCAGGCGATCGGGCAGGCGAGCGATCGGGCGGGCGATCGGGCGGGCGATCGAGAGGGCGACGAGCATGCGATCGGGTACGCGTGATCGAACGGGCGATCGGACGAGTGGTCGAACGGGCGAGGGGGCGGGCGATTAAACGGATGGCCGAGTGAGCATGTTCTACCTCAAGGATTCGACATGCTTCCTCTACCTGTCATTCCACATGGTCCACCTTCTAGCACAGCGGTGTCCTTCAAGGGCTACTACTAAAACCTACAATTTGGTTGCGGGGCATATTTGCATTATTCGGGAGATCCACATCTGCCTTCCCCGCATTGCTTATCTTGGTACTTTGCCCGGCAGATCTGGAACGGGGGAGGGAGAGTGGAACCATGCGAGATATCAAGCAGTACAATGCATAACGTAGTGAAACATTTGATTTTGAATTTCTCTATTTACTAGAAAATTCTCAAATATAAACTTAACTTACTTTTACATCAAAGGTGGGTTTTTACCAGGAGGGCGCGTGTGCAATGCGCACAATGTCCTCCCACGACATAGACGAAAGGGGCTTTAAGTATTGTCTAATAACTTTTCGCGGGACCAATAAATAGCCCCGCAGGTCGCATGTGGTCCATAAATGTCCAAATAAAGTGACAATTTATTTTTTTAAACATGTGATTTGCACATCCCTGTTGCAGAAAACGTAGATTTGGTAAAGTAGTTGGCAAATGTGTTAGTAGCATCCAAGTGAGAATTTTATAACATTACTTTATCTTTTCCAAGAATTCGAGTAGAAATTTTTGCACAATTTTTAATCTATTGGATCGATTTTCGAAACTATTAGTGATACAGAGGCGTTTAAACGCGACTGTAAATTTGAAGTTTGGAACTCTTTTTCACAGAAAATTTTTGAGTTTTATAAAAACCTCATTGGAGTCATTTGAAGAAATTTAACTCACAAATGCAATAGTGTTTACAAATTGGTGGAAATGTGCATATTAAATGCGTGACAGATCTTTCAAAATATTCACATTTGTGTAATTTTTGAAAAAATACCCAAAAATGATTTTTACTTCATATTAAAAAATGCAATTAGCACTATCCGTTCGAAAAGTTTGAAGAAAAATTTAGAGCCATTTTTCAAAAAATGGAATTTCAATTCTGGAAAAGTGGACTTTTCACCCAGTTTTCACAGAAAATAGTTGAGTTTTTGAGAAGCTTTATAAGACAATTTAAAGAGCATATACTCAGAAATATAATAATGTGCACAAATTACCGCTAATAAAAATATTAACGACGTGAGAGACACGTGAAAAAATGTACTTTTTGAAAAAATAAAAAAGAGCGATATGGTGTTTATGTCATCTCATAGAGTACATTTATCACCATCCCTACTAAAAGTTTAAAGTAAAAAATTGGTGCCGTCTTAGAAAAAAATTTGAAACGGTTCCAAGTGGAATATGTGGTTGACAAAGCGGGTTCGCGGCAGGTTCCCTCGGGGTACTCCCGTTTTCCCTGCCAATAAGCATTCCACGGGAGTCATTTCCGACCCTACACTGCCATTAATCGCCATCGCCTACGGATTTCATAACCAAGAACTAGCTGGGAAGGACTGCGGCAACCTCAGCGGGTTATCGATAAAGAGGGTGTCGGCCTGGAGAACTAGAGAGAGGGGAAATGGTGAGGGAGTGGAAAACGTCCCCTCCCTAAATCCACATACGTATAACGCAGAGCGGATGTAATGATAGGCGGGGCGAGGAGTACAGATTGTAGCTGGTCCTTGAGGTAAAAAAACTAAGATTAGTGAACATATTAGTTAAATATTTAAGAGAAATAAGGTACTTTTTAATAAAGTTATATGAAGTCAGTTAAATACTTCTTTATTACACGGCAATTAAATAACGTTTTCTTGAGAAAATATCGCTCACTATTTTTTAGTCATTCAGAACTTACTTCCCAATTAGCGCTCTCAAACCTTCAGATTTCTTTCACCTAGTTATTACTTTATCTTTCATTATTCACAATTTTTCATTATTTACTGGCAATAATGACGTTCATTTTAGGTTGGAAAAAGAACACATCAGAAACTGAGAAAGGACCTTCAGGAACTTTTCCGGTCTTTACAACAATATGATTCGTCAGTATAAGTTTATGATTTCATACCACGAACCCCCAAGGTCGTTACTTCATGTCGCATTCATACATCTACAAGATACAACTACCTTCTTCAAGAACTTCTTTTATTTCTGTTTATTTCCAATTGTTCGTTGTTCCTCGCAAGCATAATCACAACTCATCAGAGTCAATCATAACTTCCAATGACATGAATCTTACTGCATTCATGCATTTAGAACTCGACACATGGAACAGGAAATAAAGGAGGCATCATCGGTGTTTTCAAACGGTTATCTATGGTTGAAATACATATTTGTAGGCATATAGGTTAATATATATGTAGACATATAGGTAGACATGTTTGTAGGCAGACATATTTGTTACATTTGTTAGTCATTCTCTAATATGTCTCTAATATCTCTACCCATGTCAAATATCTATTCATCATTTCTCCTTTCAGACAGGCTGAATAAATTATTATTTCTTTCTGCATCAATAAATGACCTAAATTTTATTTTGACGTGTTTTAAACTGCTCTATCCTATCTCCTTTACTCAAATGTTCAGTTTTCTCTATGATTGAAATGTTCAGTTTTCTTGCGAACCTGCAGAAAAACGTGGGTGCCGTTTGTGTGCAGCGGGAGTCGTTAGAGTTTATAGATGAAACTATAACTAATAAATATTATATAAAAAATTTAGACCAAAAATTCGGGGCATACAGAGAGTGAAGTTTTCATGTATGATAACGATCCAATGCACACAGACCTTACTTCTAGATTGCAAATATTATTTAATACTTCAAACTTTATTTCAACTCTCCCTTAGTCCCCTGATAGTAATCAATTTGAACATTTATGGAAATACCTCAAAATTAACCTTTTGGATGGGTCGAAAGTCACCAACAAAATGGTTTATTCCATGCCTTGAAGATAACATCATGTAGTCAATAATCGAGTCAAACAAAATCGTTAATGACAATGAAATCAATAAATGAAATGTCACAACAGGGTGCACAAATACTTTTTACATATTCCAATTTCCCATTTCTTTATTCATGATATTATAGTTTCATATACTATTAAACTCCTTATTTGTTATGTATTAATGGAAAATACTAAAAAATCATTTATTTTTGTTTCATTTAGTAAATTAAATTAAATATGTTTTCTTTAATTATCTACCGTACGAGTACTTTTTCATTTAATTGGAGAAGTCTGTTCTCTCTACTATATTTAACAGATCAAAATTCAGAGAACCGAAGTAAATGTGCCCAAAAGGCTTTCGTTCGTTCACCGCAACTTCTTAATTACTTTTCTGCAGGGTCGCAAGAAAACTGAACATTCCAATCGTATTTAATTGCTAGAGTAAAGGAGATAGAATAGAGCAGTTTAAAACGCGCCAAAATAAAATTTAGGTCATTTCTTAATATAGAAAGAAATAATAACTTATTCATCCTGTCTGAAAGGAGAAATGATGAATAGATATTCGACATGGGTAGAGACATATTAGAGAATGACTAACAAATGTAACAGAATATAATGTATGAATGAGGTCAAATCCAAATGAACGTTCCGATAGCTTTGAGAATCACTGGCTGCTCTGCCGATTGACTGTTTCCGGGCACGCTAACTCCTACGGTCATTAGTTCCGTAAGTGCAGTCTAAGAAAGTGGCGGTGTTCCTTCCGCGTAGGACGGTGAGATGCAACGCCGAACTACACGGCTCGCGGGTGGTGCTCTCCTCCAGGTGTCTTCCCTAGCAGAGTACCGCCCCGTCCGAGATAAGCTCTAAGCTTCCGACCAGTATACCGAAATATGAGGCAGAGTAGTGCGTGTAAGTGTGTGTGAATAAAGAGAGAGGATATGGCAAGGATGAGGTGCGAAGACAGTCCATGGTCTGCTCTTTCTCGATATTTCCCCGCATTCGCCTGGTATTGATCGGAGAAATGACTGAAAACTACGTATGAGGGCAGCTGGTTGTAAGAATTACTATCCAGACAGCTGATGAATTCGAAATAGCTAACTTATGTAGCTAGTCGGGAATCCTTCAATGCCGGGGCTCGAATCCTAAAGCTTTCCAATGAGAGTCGCTACAGAAACAGTGGTACTACTGGCTTTGAGATAACTCAGCTGATACAAATTCTTCCGAAACTGAAAACTTTCATGAACTAACACACACCCGCCTAATATTTCTTCAATTGAATAATACGATAATTTCACTCCTGTCCGAAAAAAAAGTAGCGCGTCCAAATGTCAATACTTCTTGCCTTGAGGCCACCGTCCTCAGCCTAAATGAGAATAGTACGTATAATTCTGGATCCACGTCAAGGATGGAAGGTCCACGTCGAGGTAGAAATGGGCAGTTGTAGATAATGAATGAAGCGATAGTGGTGATGTTCATTCGGACACTGGAAATAGAGTAGGGAAGTGGAACCACTCGGAGAAAATCCACAATGAACCTGTTTCAAATTCTCCACGGATAACCAGGAATTTGAAGCTACAGCAGCCCCAAAGGCGATAGTGCTCACCGCATCCCTACAGACTTCACCTGTGTGGATTCGGGTCATCCCAGCGATTCCAGGGGAGACTGCCGCCCGCCCCCCTATCCCACACGCCGCCCACCAGCCGCGAGTCGGCGCCCACCCCGATCACCTTGAGATCCGGCGAGCGAGACTTGATCGCGCGGCACATGCGTTTGTTGTGAGGCGCGCCGCTGCTCCGTCTCCACCTCCGCCGCCTCCCCTCCACCGCGTGGGCATTGGCCGCGCAGAACGGCAGGGCTGGGGCGCCCGCTCAGCTCACGCCCGCGCCGCCAGTCGAGCCGCGCACGCCCGCCAGAGCGCACGCCCCGCGACTCAACCGCCGCCGCCGCCGCCTCCGGTGCCACCGCTCCGCGCCTCCGCGGCAGTCGCGGATCAACCAGTGAGTACGACCAGCGCCGCGGTGCTCGGGCCCACATAAAGAGGGCCTCTTTTTACGGAATAGTTTTTTTATTATTTAAGGTACTAACACTACTCGTGTTTGCTTTACACTTTTATAAAGGGGGGCCCGGGTGAACGTTTTGCGAGCGGACCCACACGTTTCTTTACTTTGTTGAGTACGACTAGGAATGCATCTTGGATGCCCATGTTTTCAAAACGTCCATTGTTATAGAAACATCGATATATTAAAGTCGATATTTTTTAGCATTGATGTTTTCTGCTCGATGATTTTACGTTTTCAATGTTTTGTTTTGAATGAAAAATTCCTACAATCACAATTCTGTATAAGTTAAAAACCTGAAATAACGGATGACCTGTGAAGAGCATGTGTTGGAACCAAACGAACGTGGTTTGTACTGCTCGATCCAGCAGATTATCTCACCTAAAATAGACCCGGTTCTGGTGAATAAAAAACAAATATCTTACGATATTGGATATTCAGAAGCAATGAATTGTGTGTAGCCATGAAAATAGTTCATGGCTGTGACGAATTGTTGAATCGTCATAAATACAAATTAATTAAAGTTTCGGAAGTGTGTTGCATTAGTTGGTAATTCGTTATTTCGAAGAGTTTTGTAAAATTCTATGGTGAAAAAATACTAAAAGAGATAATCTTCTACAATGTAATTCTTGAAGATGGAGAATAAAGCGTGAAATATGTCTGGTTAACATTTGAAGAATATATTGTTTACGCACTACACTGAGGAGGATTATTCCTTTATTTCTTCACGAAATATTATTACATGTAACAAAAAATATTGCGACAATCATGATAAATTTCTAGTGAATTGAAATTCTAGAAACCTTTTCGGTTGCACACTAATCTAATAATTATCAGCGTATAATACAAACGAGACATATCTAACTGTACATTTTAAAACAAATGTAAACACGAGAATATTTTGTTGAACAAATACGATCAATTCATCGAATCCTTCGAGATTCGTACATATGGTACAATTAAATCGAAATAAAATCATACATTATCTCCTGAAGTAGGCGTGCATTTGTTTCCATGACCACAATAATCTTTAAAAAAGGCAATATTTAATTTTTTTTAAAGTACGAGCAATTTTTGTTTAATTTTGTGCTTGACGTTAATGCAATTAGTAAAAAATATTTTTCCTAGTTTATTAAAAATAATACTATTTCAATGTAATAATAATAATAATAATAATAATAATAATAATAATAATAAGAAGAAGAAGAAGAAGAAGAAGAAGAAGAAAACTTAAACGAGAACCCTATGTATCCTAAAACTTCAGCGATTCTTCGCACTGTCACTTCAGCGCTCTACATTTGGACTTGTCTCCATGTTCGTTATCACCCTACACTGCACTACATTTCACAACGCTGCACTTGCTAACAACAGCGTCGTTACAAAAGTCAGTAGAGTTACTAAGAATGCAACTAAATCTAAAACAGTTTAACGTCGCGCCTCCGGCGGCGATATTCATCTTAAACATTTTATTTCAGTTTTTCTATTTCATATTAAAAATTCATTTTAAACACATTACAGATGCCATCATTTTTTGGGCATTCAATATTACAGGATGCGGTGATATTTCAGAATGGCACAGACTTTCTCAAACTAGTTAGTTTCTTTTTATATTAGTCTGGGCAAGCTTCTGGTATGGGCTTCTTCCCAGCAATTCTTAAAAACGGCTTCACATTTTTCTTGATTTTTTTCTCCACGGCTGGAGAAAGAGAGTCTAAAAATGACACAGGTCTGTTTTTCGTTGGATTACCTGAATTTTCGAAAATAGCAAATGTTATAAATAATAAAAGAAATGATGTGCTATTGTATCACCAGTAGTTCTTATTTTCTCTTAAAGTAAATGTTGATATCCTATACTGAATTCTATCCCAATTTTTACAATGAACAATTCTGTTCGATTCCAACAAATTTCTCAATTTTCCATTTTCCGCCGAATAAAAAGCAATTTCTTGTATGTAGGTGGGCGTCTTGTGCTAATTGATACGAGCATATATGCGCTTGACGAAGGACTGGACACCAGGCTTGCCATGAGCCAAACTTTTCGTGACTCCCTTTTCAATGTACTGTCCAAATGTATCCTTAAATATTTGTAGAGATTGACTATAATTGGACACATGATATTAGCTAGAGTTCGCCTGAATCGTGAACAAAATTTTTTCCACGAGCGAAAGAGGAAGTTGGTTTCTACGATATCAAACTAGGACAGAAGTGAACCTAAGGGAGAGGATAGTATTACATCTCCAGATGCAGTAAAATTATAATATTTCCCTTGTTTACAATACAACAATAAAAACAAATGACATAAACTATGTATTTAGACCATGTATTTAGAAAGAACATAAAGAAAAATATAAATTCATTCGAAAATATTATGTATTTGGCATTTGGGGTCGATTGTCCGACTCTATCGGCTAGCTAACGGTGTCCCTCATGCCTGGGTCTAATTTAATTCCCACGCCTCGGGGATAAGAGAGCCCTGTGGCAAACATAACGTATTCACTTCACTGTAACTAGTATCAAACTCCATCTGCCTGAGCTTGTCTTCGTCGCACAGTACAGAAAGTGAGACGATTTTAAAGGAAAGGTGCAACTCTATTTTTGCCCCGAAAATTATTGTAAAAAATTATATTAACATTAAGATATTTGTAGTGTTTACAATTATTATAATTAACATGGGGGACTATAATTGGAAGTATCTTCCAATTATAGTCCCCCATGGATTGGATTGTATGAATGGAAGTATGGATTGTATCTTCCTTGTTAATTATATCAAGTACATTAGTTGACATACTTGGACTTGGCGAAATATTTTTGGCAATATTTGTTTTATTTTGAATAGACTTTTCTTTGTAGCCCACGGATACGGTAGACGACTTCCTGACCCCATGTTGTAATATAGTTGTAAAATAGCGACTCCAATATCAGCCAATATATTTGCTTTAGTCTTCCGCTTTAGCCTTCGTAGGAAGCAGAATTCGGGAATTGTGCTACATTTTCTAGATTTATAATACTACTATATAAAAAGACGAAGTTTGATAGAGTCAGGTCAAAAAGCGATATATTTCCAAAAACCAATGAAAGCATCTATGTTTTCTTCATTTCCTGTTACAGCGAACATTCTGTTAATTTTATTCTTGCATTTTTTACGTTCCCGCCCTTACAAAGGTACTTATTTTCGGACCCGCCCTTACGAAGGTACTTCGTACGAAGAGAAAATTATGCACTCGTATGCCGGAAAACAGTGAACTTTTAGCGAAAATCTCTTATTGACGATCCCTGGTAACCAAAAAGTGGATAAACTCTGTTGCTAAATATTGAAAAAATTCTCAAACGCGTGATGCAGCCAGAATCCATGTTTTGTAGGTCCTTGATAGCGAAAAATCGATTGACAGCAAAACATGGATTCGATCTTTTTTTGAAAATATGATCTATTAGAACATATTTCATTTTTGACCAAAATGTTGATCTTCAATACTGTACATTTGCGATGTTATATTTGCCATATTTTAAATACAGAGCATGCCAAAAAAATATGATTGCCGTCATTTGCTATAAACCCAGAACAAATTAAATTTTAAAACAATTGTCTGTATCTCGCTAAAATTAGGCAACACTACTCACATTTTCAAAATATTGTAATTGGATTTATTCCAAGATCTGCCTTTGAACATATTTCATTGAGGAAACATTTCTAGCTTCAATAGTATAGTTGTAGGAAGATGTCGAAAAAAATTGAACTTATGCTATTTTCGAAAAATGAGAGATATCAACAAAAATGAGACCTGTACTGTTTTCGTTTCAGCTTTATTTACGCTATCCGGGGACAAATTGTAATAAAAAAATTGTAGTATTTTTCATGTGTAAATTTTGAAAATATTATTGTTACTTTATAAAATAAACTACCCCCCAAAATTTAAATATATACTTCAAACTCACAGGGACCCGGTATCATTTAAATTGACCGGAGAGTATCAATTTTGGAGAAAATCGGTTGAACGGTTTAGGCGCTAGCGTTCATAGACGTATGAACAGACGGACAGAGCCGTCAATGGAATTTTCGGTATCAAGGTACCACAAGATTCTGGCCACAGAAAATGCCACAGATTCTGACAAGACAACGTGTTAGAGAAAGTAATTAGCTATACGTAAGGACAAGCTTTATCAACTTTTCCGTTATCAGAGTCTAACAATAAGAGTTTTTCTATCAAAAATTTGCCAATTTCCAGTGCACTTCTTACTCGTACAGTGCATACTTTTTCTAACGAAGTAAGGCGATAAAGTAAAATTGGCAATCGCAAGTAGTAATATTTTTCTCGCTTATAAAACGGTTGCCAAAAGTTTATGTATAAACCACGTTTCTCCACTTCAGAGCTGTGTACTCGAATTGTCCACACCTACCTGTAAAGGATCACTACAAACATTCTCATCACTGTCAACCTGCAAAGCTTTAGCCATCCCAGTTATGTATTCTGTTTCTAGTGTAACCTCTCCCCATTTGTTTGTTAGTTTTCTCACAGTCAGTACGTTACATCTGGTTTTATGCGCACAACAGCCATAGACATGGAGATACGTCATCTACATAAATTGACAAGGTTGCAGTGGTACATTGTCACTTACTATCACGATTCTGGCACACGCATGTACGGTAAAGGAGTTTGTAAAAGTCTCCGACATACAGAGCAAATTCAAATTTGATGATCGCTGACGCGATGAAGAAGAAAGCTATTTATTAATTTTTCTGGTCGTCTCATTTGCAAATTACCCGTTACAAGATGTTAACATCATTGATAAACTCTCAAAGTCATTCGTCTGTTGAAACGAAGTTTTGTCACTTTTTGTACGTTTCCCCCTGTTTTTTATGTCTAAGGACGTCCTGACCGTTGCTCGTTCTCAACTGACTGATTTCCGGTTTTAAATCCTTCCTAAGAGAATCATACTCAATC